TTATACATGTATGTATATATGTCTATATGTATAATTACAAATTTAAAAATATTTGTTTTTGAATATTTACACACACAGGCAAAAATATGGAAGAATATTTCCAAGTTGAAACTGTTACGATTTTTGAGAGTTGGAGTTCTGGTTAGATTATTATTTCTTTTTGTTTGCTCATCTGTGGTATTTCTTGATTCTTCTACAACAGATATGCAATATTTTAAAAAAATGGTATTTTTATTTCTGGCCCTTAAATATAACTAGATTAACACCTGGTTAAATTTCATTCCAGTTTATAGAACTAGATTTTGCTTTTGACATTTTTATAATCATATTTAATTAATCTCTGAATCCGAAGGAGAGTTTTCATTTAAGGGCTACTTTTTGCTCAACAATACAGTTATTTTTTTTAATTCAATTTATTTAAACTAAAAACACAAACAGTTTACCCATTTCTCCCATCCCCTCCCCCCACCTCTGGCAATCACCAATCTGTGGTCTGTATCTATGATCTTAGTTTTTTTTTTTAATATTTTTTTTTTCTAGATTCCACATATAAGAGAGATCAGATGGTATTTGTCTATCTCTGTCTGACTTACTTCACTTAGCATAACACCCTCAAGGTCCATCCATGTTGTCACAAATGGCAAGATTTCACTCTTTTTTATGGCTGAATAATATTTCACATTTTCTTTATCGATTCATCCACTGAAGAACACTTAGGTTGTTTCCATATCTTGGCTATTGTAAATAATGCTGCAATGAACATGGGGGTGCATATATCTTTTCAAATTAGTGTTTTTGTTTTCTTCAGATAAATACCCAGAAGTGAAATTGCTGGATCACAAAATAGTTCTAGTTTTTTATTTTTTGAGGAACTTCCATACTGTTTTCCATAGTGTCTGCACCAATTTACATTCCCACCAGCAGTGCACAAGGGTTCCCTTTTCTCTGCATCCTTGCCAACACTTTTTATTTCTAGTCTTTTTGATAATAGCCATTCTGACAGATGTGATATCTCATAGTGGTTTTGATTTGCATTTCCCTATGATTAATGATGTTGAGCATCTTTTCATGTATCTGTTGGCCATCTGTATGTCTTCTCTGGAAAAATGTCTATTCAGATCTTCTGCCCATTTTTTTTTTTTCCCTCAAAGCCCCAATAGATAGTTGTATGTCATAGCTACACATCCTTCTAGTTGCTGTATGTGGGACACGGCCTCAGCATGGCCGGAGAAGCGGTGCGTCGGTGCGCGCCCAGGATCCAAACCTGGGCTGCCAGCAGCGGAGCGCACGCACTTAACCACTAAGCCACAGGGCCGGCCCCTGCCCATTTTTTAATCAGATTGTTTGTTTGCTCCTAGATTGTATGAGTTCTTTATATCTTTTGGATATAAGCCCCTTATCAGATATATGATTTGTAAATATTTTCTCCCATTCAGTAGGTTGCCTTTTCATTTTGTTGACGATTTCCTTTGCCATCCAGAAGCCTTTTAGTTTGATGTAGTCCCACTTGTCTATTTTTGCTTTTGTTGCTTTTGCTTTGGGTGTCAGAGTCAAAATATCATTGTCAAGACCTATGCCAAGGAGCTTATAGCCAGCGTTTTCTTCTAGAAATTTTATGATTTAAGGTCTTATGTTCAAGTCTATAATCCATTTTGAGTTAATTTTTGTGTATGGTGTAAGATAGTGGTCCAGTTTCATTCTTTTGTATGTGGTTGTCCAATTTTCCTAACACCATTTATTGAAGAGATTGTCCTATGCCCATTGTATACTCTTGGTTCCTATGTCGTAAATTAATTGACCATATATTCATGGGTTTATTTCTGTGCTTTCTATTCTGTTCCATTGATCTGTGTTTCTATTTTTATGCCAATACCATACTGCTTCAATTACTATAGATTTGTAATATAGTTTGAAATCAGGGAGTGTAATGCCTCCAGTTTTGTTCTTCTTTTTCAAGATTGCTTTGGCTATTTGAAGTCTTTTATGGTTCTACACAAATTTTAGGATTGTTTGTTCTATTTCTTTGAAAAATGCCATTGGAATTTTGATAGGGATTGCATTGAATCTGTATATTGTTTTGGGTAGTATGGACATTTAAACAATACTGATTCTTCCAATCCATGAACACAGAATATTTTTCCATTTATTTGTGTCTTCTTCAATTTCTTTCATTAATGTCTTGTAGTTTTCAATGTACAGGTCTTTCACCTCCTTGGTTAAATTTATTCCTAGGTTTTTTATTCTTTTTGATGCAATTGTAAATGGGATTTTTTTCTTAATTTCTCTTTCTGATAGTTCATTATTAGTGTATAGATATGCAATAGACTTTTGTGCATTGATTTTGTATCCTGTAAGTTTACTGAATTTATTAGTTCTAACAGTTTTTTGATAGAGTCTTTAGGATTTTCTATATATAATATCATATCATCTACAAATAGTGACAGTTTTACTTCCTTGTCTTGCCTAATTACTCTGGCTAGGACTTCCAATACTGTGTTGAATAGAAGCGGTGAGAGTGGGCATCCTTGTCTTGTTCCTGATCTTAAAAAGAAAGCTCTCAGCTTTTCACCATTGAGTATGTTAGCTGTGGGCTTATGATATATGGCCTTTATTATGTTGAGGTATGTTCCTTCTATATCCACTTTGTTGAGAATTTTTATCGTAAATGGATGTTGAATTTTGTCAAATGCTTTTTCTGCATCTATTGAGATAATCATATGATTTTTATCCTCCATTTTGTTAATGTGGTATATCATACTGACTGATTTGTGGATGTTGAACCACCCTTGCATACCTGGAATAAATCCCACTTGATCATGATGTATGTTGTTTTAACGCATTGTTGAATTCTGTTTGCTAATATTTTGTTGAGGATTTTTGCATCTGTGTTCATCAGAGATATTGGCTTGTAATTTTCTTTTCTTGTGGCATCCTTGTCTCATTTTGGTATCAGGGTAATGCTGGCCTTATAAAGTGAGTTTGGAAGAGTTTGGGAAGGATTTGTATTCTTCTTTGAATGTTTCGTAGAATTCACCAGTGAAACCGTCTGGTCCTGGACTTTTGTTTCTTGGGAGGTATTTGATTACTGATTCAATCTCCTTACTAGTAATTGATCTGTTCAGATTTCCTATTTCATTATGAATCAGTCTTGGTATGTTGTATGTTTCTAGGAATTTATCCATTTCTAGGTTGACCAATTTGTTAGTGTGTAGTTGTTCACAGTAGTCTCTTACGCTCTGTTGTATTTCTGTGGTATCAGTTGTAACAGTTCCTCTTTCATTTCTGATTTTATTTGAGTCCTCTCTTTTTTTCATGGCGAGTCTAGCTACAGGTCTGTCAATTTTGTTTATCTTTTCAAAGAACCAGCTCTTAGTTTTGTTGATTTTTTCTATGGTCTTTTTAGTTTCTATTTCATTTGTTTCTACTCTAATCTTTGTTATTGTCTGCCTTCTACTAACTTGGGGCTTCATTTGTTCTTTTCCTAGTTCCTTGAGGTATAAAGTTAGATTGTTTATTTGAGACTTTTCTTGTTTCTTGAGGCAGGCATTTATTGCTGTGAACTTCCCTCTTAGAACTGCTTTTGCTGAATCTCACAAATTTTAGTATGTTACATTTTCATTTGTCTCCAGGTATTGTTTTTATTTCTCTTTTGATTTCTTCTTTGACCCATTGGTTGTTCAGTGGCATATTGTTAAATCTCCACATATTTGTGAATTTTCCAGTTTTGTGTAATTAACTTCTAGTTTCATAACATTGTGATCAAAAAAGATGCCTGATATGATTTCTATCCTCTTAAATTTATTAAGATTTGTTTTGTGGCCTAACATATGATCTATCTTGAAAAATGTTCCATGCGCACTTGAGAAGAATGTATATTCTATTGCTTTTGGATAGAATATTCTGTAAATATCTGTTGAGTCCATCTGGTCTAACGTATGGTTTAGGTCAAGTGTCCTTATTGATTTTCTGTCTGGATGATCTATCCATTGATGTAAGTGGGGTATTAAAGTCCCCTACTATTATGTATTTCTGTCTATTTCTCCCTTTAGGTCTATTAATATTTGCTTTATATATTTAGGTGCTCATATGTTCAGTACATAAATATTTACAAATGTTATATCTTCTTGTTGGATGACTCCTTTATCATTATGTCTTTGTCTTTTTCTATGCCTTTCTTTGTCTCTTAATACAGTCTTTGTTTTAAAGTCTATTTTGTCTGATCTAAGTATAGCTACTCCAGATTTCTTTTGGTTTCCACCTGCATGGAATATATTTTTCCATCTCTTCCCTTTCATTCTGTGTGTCTTTACATCTAAAGTGAGTCTCTTGTAGGCAGCATACAGATAAGTCTTGTTTTTTTATCCACTCAGCCACTCTATGTCTTTTGATTGGAGAATTTAGTCCATTTACAGTTAAAGTAATTATTCATAGGTATGTGCTTATTGCCATTTTGTTGTTTTCTGGCTGTTTTTGTAGTTCCTCTCTATTCCTTTCTTTTCTTGCTCACTTTCTTTGTGGTTTGATGATTTTCTTTAGTGGTATGCTTATATTTCTTTCTTTATCTTTTGTGTATTTACTACAGGTTTTTGCTTTGTGGTTACCATGAGGTTTACATAAAACAACTTATATCTATAACAGTCTATTTTAAGTTGATAACAACTTAAGTTTGATCCTATCCCTTTTTATAAGGATACCAGTCATATTGGATTAGGGGCAACTCTACTCTTAATCTTAACTAATTACATCTACAATAACTCTATTTCCAAATAAGGTCACATTCCAAGGAGTTAGGTCTTCAGCATATGAATTTGGAGGGGACAGAATTCAACCTATAACACCAGCCGTTTCTCTCTTGTGATTTTAAGATCACCAAACAACTTTCTAGTTACTAGGATGGTTCCCCAGTTACCGAGGATTTAGCAGTGAGGGAGCTGGAGAACATACATGAGTCTTCTGGCCACTGGAGATGAATGTCCCCATTGTGAACTGGCATTCTGTTCACTCAAGAATCTTCAGTGAGTCTGGCTAGCATGAATCAGTCCCTGAGAGCGTGGTCACTCTGCTTGCATTGACAATGTGAGTTTATAGTTTCACTACATAACTGTGATGACCCCCCATAGGCCCTGTTTGCAGAATTGGTTGGCTTCTCTCTCTGCTATTATTGTGTCCTCTCTATAACTGCAAGGGGGAACTTCATCTTAAAAGATTCAGAAACACAGCTAGCAAAGCCAGGAGATGTGGCTAGTGCACACCCCTCACCACCCCTGTTTCCCAGCCATCTCTACAACAAACCTACTTTTAAGGTTCCAGGCCTGACATCCTCAAAAATGAAGGATGTCATACTGTGTGCCCTCATTAAAAAGAGGATAGAGGTACCTGAGTCGCAGGTGGGGATTCCCAGATATTTTGCCACAGATAGTGATAGTCCATCCTATCACTGGCCCCATCTTCACTGCACAACAGGCATTTTGAAAAGAAGTAAACTTCTGAGAGTTAGTCCTGCAGACCAGGGTAAATAAAGCTATCAACCCAGGAAAATACCCACCTGCCTTTACTATGCCATCTGGTAGGATAGCTCCCAATACCTTTTGTATCAGGACCCTCCACCAAGGAGAAGGAAGGTCTTGATTTCAACTTAAACAAATATTCTTGCTTATCATATCCTCTTCTGGCTCCATCAAATATCTTTCAAGTCCTGTATCCCTGGAGAGAACACAAGGCTAAGACTTAAGTGGAGATTCTTAGAAGCCCTAGATATTGTCATAAACTAGGAAAAATGTTTTCTTAGATTAGCTTAGACAATTTATCAATTAATCTCCTTGTTCTATCCATTGAAAAGGATATAATCAAATGGCCTTAAAATGGCTCAGTTATGGTTGGTTAAATATATAACATGAACTCTGTGGGCCATTAGCACTAACTCTAAGCTTGAGAGTTTTAGATCCAGGACAGGTTTCTTCTTTTTTTTTTTTTTTTTTAAGATTTTATTTATTTATTTTTCCCCCAAAGCCCCAGTAGATAGTTGTCTGTCATAGCTGCACATCCTTCTAGTTGCTGTATGTGGGACGCGGCCTCAGCATGGCCAGAGGAGCGGTGCGTCGGTGCGCACCCGGGATCCGAACCCGGGCCGCCGGCAGCAGAGTGCGCACACTTAACCACTAAGCCACGGGGCCGGCCCAGGACAGGTTTCTTTAAAACTCAAACCATAACAGCCCAAACTTGAGTACAATGAGATTTCCAAACCCTAGTGGTTGGCCCAGAAATTCAATCCAACAAAATCTTAATATAGTAGAAGTCCTCTTAATGAAACACTGCTTAACCAACTCACTAGATTCACCTTCGCTCTCTATTCCTCTGTAACCCCATGAAGCCAGGTGCACTGAATACTAGGAGACTACTCTTTGATGCAGTATTTTTCAAAATGTAGGTCTTCATATCAATTTACTGGGTTGAAATAAATTCACTAGGTCATGACTAGCATTTTTTAAATGAAACAATACAGAACAGTTGAATGTATACTTAGAATCAGTTATTTATTCTAAAATGTGTTTATGCCCATTACAGAAAACAATGAAATATGAGTGAAAAAAAAAAAAAAAAAAACCCAAAATAAACAAATAAAAATATCAGACATCAAAAATGATGTAAAAAAGAAGTTGAATGCTTTGAAAAGACTCCATAAAGGCAGGTCACTAAAAAATAAAAAACAAAAACTGATGTCAAATTAGTTGCGAGCTAGAAAACCGTAAGAGATGAGGAAAGAAATTGTAAAGCCTAAAACTGATATTGTTTTACAAGTGTCTTTAAGCTCTCTCTCCACTATAGAAAAACAAAGGCTGGACATCCTAAACCCAGTGTATCAAGAGTGGAGCTAATGCAAGAAAAACAATGCGTAATTTCAGTCAGAGGACCCACACAGTGATTCCAACACCTAAAGACTGGGGAATGAATGTACAATTACATGCTTTAAGTAAAACCAAAAAATTTAAAGTTTAAGGTGTTTTATCAGTCTCAATCATAGTGATAAAAGGACTTACATTATTTTTAAATTTTGGCCAGTCCATGGAATAGGATTTGAATGTTGTAAACTCACTGCAACTATCAATGAAGGAAGGAATCACAAAGAATATCCTTAATGTATCAGAGAATGTAATCAGACAGCTAGTGTATAAGACAACATGATTAGAGCAAAGTACAGAAAAAAATAATAGTCTCACCCACTTATAAGCTAGAGTCGTAATCAGCCCAGATAACCAGTTTTCTATGAAGCTTTTCCTGTCTCCTCCTTCTTGCTGTCCTCTTGTGCCACTAGAACTGGCTCTTCCTTAGTGTCCCACTGGCTGCTTTAAGTTTGTCTACCCAGGGACCTACCAAAGCCCCTGAGATAATTCTCTCTACCTCATTGTTTATATATGCATGTCCATCAACTAGACCCTAAGCTCCTGGAAGGCCCAAGTCTTGCCTAGTATTCCCAGCATCAGCACGGAGCTTGGCACTGGGTAGGTGCGTGGCAAATTTTTGTTGAATGAATATTTCTGTGCACAGATAAATCAAGATGTTGTCCTAGTTTTCAATAAAAATGGAAGGTAACTCTTTTTTTTTTTCTCCTCAAAGCCCCAGGGCATGGTTGTATATCCTAGTTGTAAGTCCTTCTAGTTCTTCCATGTGAGCTGCCACCACAGTATGGCAACTGACAGACCGGTGGTGTGGTTCTGCGACAGGGAAGTGAACCCAGGCGGATGAAGCAATGAGAACGCTGAACTTTAACCACTGGACCATCGGGGCTGGCTCAGAAGGTAACTCTTTTTGAAGTAAATTGTAAATTTGGAAATTAAAAAAAAAAAAAGTGTTACAGTAATACAAGCAGGAGGGCAGTGGTGCAACTTTAAGCCAAAAAAGAAAATCATTGATTAGGTCAAAGTTCACTAGACTGTTACAGCTTGGTTGAAATAACCATTAAGACCATTCCGCTCACACTGCCTTGACTCTGGATTTAATATGAACATTTTTATGGTTTTGGTTCCCTGCCTGGATCTTGAAATTTCAAAGGAAGTCCCCTAAATAGGCAAGACAAATATTCTGGTCACTGAAAAGGAAATGTCTTTATACTTCAAACTGCTGAGTTGATTTTCTACCACAAATCAGAAAAGATTGTCTGGTCTGGAAAAATAAAATGAAAACTTAGAAGAAAATTATTGCTTTTATTCTCAGGATCTTTTTTCCCCTCCATCTCTACATATCCAAAATATGATCATTAAAAAATTTTTAAAAACAAAAACAAGAAAACAAAATATGATTATTTTTATCAGCTAAATTATATATATAATTAAAGTACTTTTCCTGAGTAACAGAATAATACATACTGACTGTAGAAAAGTTGGAAAGGACTAAAAATTATAAAGCAGGAGAAAAAGACCCACTCCTAATCCTACTAGACCAGGGCATCAACTCTAACATTTGGCATGCTGTTCCAATTGTCTTCTTTGCAGTTTTCCTTATATAATTGGGATTACTATACATGATACATTTTTATGGTCCTAAACTAACAAGATAACTTCATATATTAAGTTTTCTTCTCCTTACCCTGCCCCATGAAGAGTTTCCCTTTTCCATAACTTCAAATTTTCTAGAAAAATCTCTCTAGTTATCAGTGTGATTTTATTAATCAATCAACAAACATTTATTGAATACAAGCTATGTGCAATGTGCCAAATTGGTGCCATTGAGTATACTTCAAAATAAAAGTGACTATGTTTAAAGAACTGAAAAAGCAGACTGAGGAAACAAGCTATCTACACACAAAGAAAATATATGTCAAGCAACCCCCTGTTTAATGAGTTAGGTGCCAAAGTAAAAAGGTACAGAAGGGGAGATACCAAGGGTAGCTTAGGAGCAAAGGGGCTTGTGGCTCTGACAGATAAGACTAGATAAACTCTACATGATCATTTCATCTACTCTCTAGTCTACTTTGTGAGGTGGGTGTTATTATTATCTCCATTTTACAGCAGTGGAAACGGCAGCCTAGGGAGATGAAGCAATTTGCCTCAAATCACAGAGCTAGTTAGTGGTGGAGCTGAGAGTCAACCAAAGTGTGTCTCCAGAGTTGAGCTCTTAACGCTGCCTTCTGTGAGATGTCCAAAGGCCCAAGGGAGACTCGAGAGTCAAAGAAGGGGAAACATCCAATCAAGTTTAGCAGAAACAAAAGTATGAGCTTGTAACCTGGGTTTGGGAGCAGAGAATGACAGGCAAGAAGGGAGAACAAATGCAATACTCGTCACTATTTAATGAGCAACTTCCCAGGAGATGACCACGGGCAGGACAGGAACGGGAGGCAAGGTGTCTGGAGCATTCAGCACTGCAGGTCCGGAGCTTCCCTGGGGATCACCTGCTCTTTTGAACTCAGACAAGCTGCCCCGCCTTCAGGCAGCCCTAACTCTTCACCCCACCACTCACTAGAGGTTTGGAGAGAGGGGTTCCTGGAAGAAAAACCCTCATCCCACACGGACGCTCGCAAGCCTCTGTACACGCTCGCCTTCACACACCTTGAGCCTGGAAGACTGAGAACCACCCCCCCCAACACGCGCGCGTGCGCGCGCGCGCACACACACACTTCCTCTGCAAGTTTCCAACATGGGGACCGCAGAAATGAAGACCTCATTTTCACAACCGGGAGCCCCTTGAAGGGCTGGTCGAGGAATCGGAGAGCCGCATTGAACCCCCGACCACCAAGCTGCCGCCTTTCAGATCTGAGCACCAGACCCGAGATGCATTCTTGGCCATTGCTTTCTACAGAAAGCACAGCGTGGCCACTCTCTCGTCTTAAACCCTGAAAGTTGAAGAGGCAAGAGCAAATCTGAACTGGCCTCAGAGGCTGCGGCGACCTCCGCCAGCCGCCCCTCCTTCCGCGGTTTCTGCTCTGACTTCCGCTCACTCCCCCGGAGTGCGGACGCCCCCGGCCGCGCCCCGGCTGTCCCCCAGCCCGCCCCGGGACCCGCGGGCCGAGCGGGGCCGGTCAGCGCGGGAACAGAAGTTGACGCTGCCCTTCGACGTTGTGAGCTGCTCCTCAGCCTCCCTCTTCCGACTGCCGAGGCCCGGGCCCGGCTCCTGGCGCGCCCAGGGGGTCAGGGCCAGGACTGGCGGCCGGCGCGGGAGG